TTTTTCTAATCGTGCTATTATATGCTCAAAAAAATCTTCATCTTTACAATCTGCAAAAATTTTGATGAGCCATCCAAAACAATGCACAATTTCAAAAAGCCTCGCACTATTTTTTTGAAGTTTATTTAATATTCCACATAATGGAAACAATAAATCTTGAAGTTCATAAAGAACAATCCAAAAATTAGAATCCTGCAATATTGATATAATATTAGGTGAAAGCATTTTGGCCCTATTGGCATTTTTTGGTAAAAATTGTTGACGTGTCCGTCCACTTCGAGAAGTACTTGCTATTCCAATTCTTGTCAGTGCAAACTTTGTAGCGAGCATCTAATTGTAAGCAAAAATTATGGGAGTTTTACAAAAAAAAAAAAAAAAGAGCACATCTATCAAATTTAGAGTTTTTGGATCACTTGCTATATAGGTGACACTATTAATAAATTGTATTATTAATCAATTGTTTTAGAATAGGTGTTACCTATACTGCAAGAGATTTAGTCTTCTTATTTTAATTCTGAAACCCTAATAAAATTAAAAGGATATATACTTTAAGTGTAGATTCAGTTTTTAAAATGGAATAAAAACTAAAATAAAAACTGTTTCAGTGTGTTTCAGCTGGTGTTACTAGAGAAATAACTTGCCCATAATAGGACATTTGCTCATTTTTTAATAATCCAATAAAATATGGAGAAGAATGAAAATAGCTTATAACATGTATTGTGCTTTTTGATATTTTTTTATATATATCAGATGCTTTAAAAATATCTCCAAAAACTAAGTTTACTTGATGTGCCATATACAATATAAAAGCTTTATTTGGAAATTCAACTCTTAGTTGTTGCTTAAAAAATAAAAAAAATATATATATATAAATAGGATGCCCACGATAAAAAAGAATGTTTATCAGTAAATTTAATTCTTACCTTGCAGCTGCATACCCACCAGCAGAATCTGACACATAACAGTTTATTTTTATATTTTTTTTCTTCTGCACTATTCATTATATCCTTAATAAGGCATTTTACATCTTCATTTCTTGATTGTTAGTCACTAATATCATGTTTCACGCCCACTATCTGAAAAGGATAAACTACATTTTGAA